TGCCCTGGGGCTGTGGGTCACGGGGGCTGACAGGGCTGCCCCCCCCCTGCCCTGCAGGTGGTGGTGATCAAGCAGAACTGCTCCTTCCAGCTGAGGATCCACAAGAACTTCATCTGCGAGCAGTGCTGCGGGGCGTTCCGCAGCAGTTACCACCTCAAGAGGCACATCCTCATCCACACTGGTAAGGGGAGCCCCAGGTCGTCTTCAGCGGGGTGAGGGGCACCCCGAAATTGTCCCCCTGGTGCTCGGGGGCGCCCCGAGTCATCTGCAGCAGTGAGGGATGCCCCGAAATCATCTGTAGATGAGCAGGGAGCGCCCTAAAATACCCCCAGTGGTGAGAGGCACCCTGAAAATCATCTGCTGCGGGGAACGGGTACCCACAGATCATCCCCTCTGGTGAGGGGGGGGTACCTAAAAACAAATCCCTGGTGGGTGAAGCACCCGAAAAGATGCCTGCAGTGGTGAGGAGCAGCCCGGAGTGCCTGCAGTGCAGTGCAGGCAGCCCAAAATGCCCACAGCTCTGACAGCAGCCCTGCAGTTGCTGTCATTGGGCTGAAAGCTCCACGCTGCTCGAGGTGCCCGGAAAGCCGCTCTCTCTGGGGGCGACGTGTTGCCTGAACCACCCCCCCCCCCCCGCTCGGAGGGGCCGCCCAGAAAACCCCATCACGTTGCTGCAGCCCACCCAGGACCCGGCTCGGTGCCGCGCGTTAATTACCGTGCTCATTAGGGAGGTGGAGGAGCGGGAGCGGCAGAGCTCCCAGCAGGGGGAGATGTGGGGCTGGAGGGGGGGGGGGGGGGGCGGGGGGAGCAAGGGGCCACGGGACGCTCCCGGTGACGGCGTCCCCGCGCTGCCCCCAGGCGAGAAGCCCTTCGAGTGCGACGTGTGCGACATGCGCTTCATCCAGAAGTACCACCTGGAGCGCCACAAGCGCGTCCACAGCGGCGAGAAGCCCTACCAGTGCGAGCGCTGCATGCAGGTACGTGGGGGGACCGGGGGGGGGGGG